TTCACACTCACAGCCCAGATTTTCAGCTGCTTGTTTCTTGTCAACATTCAAGCATAAAGCTCGAACTACTGCTGTAAGATAGCCAAGCACTGGACACCCTCTCAAAAATTGTGGGCAGTAGGCAGCTTCTTTCTCATTTACTATTGTAAGAGAGTCAATAGTACTACAGTCTCAACCGCGGTGATAGCATCACATGTAAATATGAATTCTGCATGGTGCAGTTTGTCCTGAGGGCATTGTACTATCTGCTAACATGTTATGTGGGTCAAGTTATGCTAGACAGTATCCTGGAGGGCACATATGATATAGCCATTCTGGATTATTACTATTTTTTTAAAGTTTAGTGTCTGCAAATAGCCTGCAAAGAGTGATTCTCATGGGAACCAGCAGTTACTTGTACATTTGTGGTAAACGACTAGACGTTGAATCTGACAGCTTTTCAAAATACAGAGAATAAAACCCAACTCCATGTTTTCCTGCAGTCAATCCCCACACTTGGGATTCTGGTCTAAGTCGAGTATGTTATTTTGGTGCTTAGTCCGTGCTTATCTATGTAGTAACCTTGAGAATCATTGAATTGTATCAGAGCATGTGCTGATGGATTTAGAGACTAAAGCTCAAGCTCAGCGCAAGGAGGGCAGTTTTAGACTTGCAATGCTCAATAAGAAAACAAACTCCAAATATTTCCTGGTAGTGTTTTGAAATTCACTAGGACACTTGGGACTGGAATTGTTGCTCTCTTGTTTTCTTTAACTGAGTCTCATCCGTTGTTCTGCTATTGAAAATGCAGTTGTCACTCTCCCCTGAGGAGGGGAGAAGGGGTAACAGAAACCTTTGGCAGTTCTTCAGTTGAAGGGGTAATTGAGATATCAGATAAAGCCTTTCATTTTCCACACACAGCTCCCCCCCCCCTTTTTTTTTCTGTGAAAAGGTCTTTAGGAAAGACGACATCCCCCGGTCACATCCCATAAATAGAGGTGGATTTAAAAATCAAACTTTGCGGGAAGTTTTGGTTTTGTTTTTGCGGGGGTTTGTTTGTTTAGCTAGTTATCTCTCTGCTGCTTGTTTCTTCCAGACAGGATAGAGCAATTCAGAGCATTTTTATTGCTTCACCTCTGAAGAGCTTGTCTATGCAGAGTCTGGAACCGAAATAACTGAAATTAGAAGTAATTTAACACCTTTGGTTATTTTAGTATAAGCCTTTATGCGAACATACTCTTTCATTTCTGATTATGAGTATCTTATTTCAGTTTAACATAGCTGTAAGTTAAATCAAAACAGGATATGAATAATCTTAAAGGAATAAATTAGGTACAATTTTAGTGATTTGAGTTCTAGCCTTGTGTAGATAGATAGGTTAGCTGTGAGTTAGGGCCTTTCTTGACACCTGATTGTATTTGGTGCAATGAATCACTTGTCTTAAGCCAGGTGTTGGTAGAGATGTCCACATCAAGAAAAACAGTTGATGCTAATTATCACCTTTGGGGGGTAGTGCCCTTGTGAAGGTTAAAGGGAAAAAAAAAAATCACTTTCGGATGCTGCTTCTGGCAGTCAGTGGAGATAGGTAAAGAGTGCTCTGCTAATTTTTTTGGGGGGAGGAGGAGTGTGTGGGGGGGTCATAACTCAGAAAATACCCTATCAGGGTAATGCTATCCACTAGAATGAATTTCAATTAGAAAGAACAAGTTACCATCCAAAAGTTTTAGTGTTTTTTTTGAGAACTTAAAGTATTGAAAATAATCGCTGTAAGTACAGGTCTGGCTGATGTTCAGGTTAACTGTGTATTTATTGTTTGCAGGGGATGGTAGCAACACTTCTGAAAATACACTTGTTGTTAGAAAAGCTTTAAGTGTGGTAAAGATATTCCTAATAACAGGAAGCAATGAATTGTAGTTTTAAAAAATTACAACAGCATGGAGTAATTTTTAGCACTTGTCCTTCTGCAAATTTTTGTAGCTTTAAAATCAAATTCTGCTTCTCCACCAAGATATTTGTCTTTGTATTATGAAAAGCTCACACAAATGCAGCTCAGGTATATGTCTACGCAGGGCTGCAGTGGGGCTGAATTTTAAGGGATTTGAGGCATAATGTAAGGAGAAGTTGTATATTGTGCTCTAAGGTGGGTCAGGTATTATATTCTAGCTTGTAATGCCCGCTGTACCAACAGCCTCAAAACATTTCTGAAAGAAGTGACTTATTTATTTTATGTCCTAGAATGTTACTAAAAAATTATTTTTATTGACGCTGGTCAAGGACACTGCTGTAATATTGACTCAAATTCAGCTGCCTCACTGTGTTCTGAGGGTGAATATTTCCTCCTTTGGTTTTATCTGAGACCCAGGATCTCTCCCCCAGGCTTTAGTTCAAGGTTACAGGACTGGAACTGCTATGAGGAAGCAACAGTTTTAAGCAAAACTTCATTTCTCAGGCTCCTGAGGGTCTAGTTGACCTTTTATAGGATGGGGATGCACAATTACCTTGTGTCATAGGGAGCATGTATGTAATGCATTGAAGTTACTGATGTTGAAGAGTATGGATGGAGAAGTTCAATAAGTGAGTACTTTCTCAGAAGTAACGTAGACGTCTGGTTTTACTGTTGTTCAGTTTAGCAGGAACTGAAGAATGAAAGGTAAAAACCCTTAATTCGAGATATTTCTGAGTAGACACGGTCTTATCTAATATCAACACTGAACATACACTTTTTTCTGAGGCAGATTTCTGCTGTGAAAGCTTAATGGATTTTTTTTCTTCCTTCAAAGTAAATATGTACTCAGGAAGGAGTAATAAGAACTTAGACCATAGGGAGCCTACTGAATATTAGCAAATTTAGTACTGTGAGGATGAAAACTTTGTTCTGGTCTGTTTTGGGAGTTTGAAAAAAGCACAAACTGTGACAATTGTATGTTGCATATGTGTGTGAAGTTTAGAACGTGTATATTCATAGGCTCCCTTTCTTTCCCCCTCCCCCTTTTAACATGTAGATTTATGAGGAATCAAAGATGAACTTGGAGCAGGAGAGGCCTTTTGTCTGCAGTGCCCCAGGCTGCTCGCAGGTGAGTGGAGTCAGCGGTGATATTAATTGAGTCCTCAGCACTAGCTCTGGCTTGTATAATGCGTCCTGATATATTAACACATGTCTAATAATAATGTGCGTTGTTTTTTTCTTAAGTCCCTTGCCCCTCCCCCCCCC